CTCCTCCGCCTCCTCCGCATCCTCCGCCTCATCCGCCTCCTCCGCCTCCTCCGCCTCCTCCGCCTCCTCCTCCTCATTTTCCTCCTCCTCCTCCTCCTCCTCCTCCTCCTCCTCCTCCTCCTCCTCCTCCGCCTCCGCCTCCGCCTCCGCCTCCGCCTCCGCCTCCGCCTCCGCATCCGCCTCCGCCTCCGCTTCCGCCTCCGCCTCCGCCTCCGCCTCCGCCTCCGCCGCCTCCTCCTCTTCCTCCTCCTCCTCCTCCACTTCTTTCCCCTCTGCCTCATCAGATTCTTCTTCGTCTTAGTATTAGTATTAATAGTATTAGTCTTATTAGTATTATTGGTATTATTATTATTATTAGTATTATTATTATTATTATTATTATTATTATTATTATTATTATTATTATTATTATTATTATTATTATTATTGTTGTTATTAATATTATTCTTATTAGTATTATTATTTTTATTTTTTATTACTATTATTATTATTGTTATTATTATTATTCATAATATTAGTATTATTATTATCATTATTATTATTGGTATTATTATTATGATTCGTATTAGTATGAGTACTACTATTATTATTAATAGTATTGGTAGTATTTTTATAATTATTGATATTATTACTATTGTTATAAATATTATTAATGTTATTATTATCATTAATAATATTAGTATTATTGTTGTTATTATTAGTATTATTATTAATATTAGTAGTAGTATTATTATTAGTATTATTATTACTATTACTATTAGCATTAGCATTATTATCATCAGTGTTATTGTTATCATTGTTATTATTATGATTGTTACTAGTATTAGTATTATTATTATCATGCGTGTCATAATCATCATGTGTATTAGTAGTAATAATATTATTTGTTATTATGAGTAGTAGTAGTAGTATTGGTATGATCAGTATTATTATTGGTATTAATATTACTGGTATTAGTATCAGTAGTAGTAGTATTAGTAGTAGTAGTAGTAGTAGTAGTAGTATGAGTATTATTCGTATTATTAGTATTACTGATATTACTATTAGTATTAGTATTAGTATTAGTATTAGTATTAGTATTAGTATTAGTATTAGTGTTAGTATTAGTATTAGTCGTATGAGTATTAGTAGTAGTATTATTAGCATTAGTAATAGTATTAGTAGTAGTAGTAGTTTTAGTATTAGTATTCGTATTAGTATTATTAGTATTTATATTAACATTATTCAGATTACTATTTATGTTAGTATTATTGCTGTTGTTATTATTCTTATTATTATTATTAGTAGTCTTAGTAGTCGTATGGGTATTAGTGTTCTTATTGTTATGCTTAGTCTTATTATTATGATTATGATTATTCTTCTTATTCGTGGTATTAGTATGCTTATTCGTCGTATTCGTCGTCTTCTTCCTATTATTATGCTTGGTCGTATTATTATGAGTAGTATTACTATTCTGATTATTAGTATGCTTCTGCTTCTGCTTCTGCTTCTGCGTCTGCTTCTGCTTCTGCTTCTGCTTCTGCGTCTGTTTCTGCTTCTGCTTCTGCTTCTGCTTCTGCTTCTGCTTCTGCTTCCTCCTCCTCCTCCTCCTCCTCCTCCTCCTCCGCCTCCGCCTCCGCCTCCGCCTCCACCTCCGCCTCCGCCTCCGCCTCCGCCTCCGCTTCCGCCTCCGCCTCCGCCTCCGCCTCCGCCTCCGCCTCCGCCTCCGCCTCCTCCTCCCCCTCCTCCTCATCCTCCTCATCCTCCTCCTCTTCTTCTGTTTCTTAGTATTAGTATTATTCTTCTTATTCTTAGTATTAATAGTATTAGTACTGGTTCTTATTCTTATTAATAGTATTATGCTTATTCGTGTGATTATTCTTATTCTTAGTATTATGCTTAGTCGTAGTCTTGGTATTTTGCTTGTTCGTCTTATTCGTGTTATTATTCTGATTATGTTTCTTATTCGTCTTATTAGTCTTAGTAATATTATTAGTACTGTTGTTATTCATATGTCTATTATTATGCTTATGATTATGATTATGATTATGCTTATGCTTATGCGTCTGCTTCTAATTATGCTTCTGCTTCTGCGTCTGCTTCTGCGTATGCTACTGCTTCTGCTTATGTTTCTGATTCTGCTTCTGCGTCTGCTTCTGCTTCTGCTTCTGCTTCCTCCTCCTCCTCCTCCTCATCCTCCGCCTCCGCCTCCGCCTCCGCCTCCGCCTCCGCCTCCGCCTCCGACTCCGCCTCC